CTACCCCTACCCCCACGCCTCCTCCGGTCCTGTGGGAGCAATGTTCCGTCCTCTCGAGGAAGCGTGGTCAGTGGTCGAACAACTAAGATATGCACAACATGAGTACGCCTCCCCCCCCTCCCTCCCACGCCTGGCTCCTCCTGCAACTTCACCGCTGGTCAATTGACCACCCTTTCGTCTACCACCGGTGGTGTCGACGAAACGCAGGACCCCATCATCATCGTCGGCGACGACAGGGGGGGCGTGAACTCGCTCAAGTTATCGCCGAATCTCCGCAAGGTGAGGAGTCACACGCGTGCAAGCAAGCACGCACATGCGTTCTTTTTTTCAGATTGTCCAAATGACAAGCAAACGCGGTTTCATGCGTGAACAGGTTGTGAAACCAACTCACCCGCGGGAGCTGGAGCTGCTCTGCCTGTTGAACAATGCTTTTGCCACTCTTCTACTTCACGATACACGAGTGTTTTTCTGGGTGCGCATGTGCCGCAAGACGGCGACGTGATCGAATTTTATTTCGAAGTTCATATGATAGGCACGTGTACATTCTACATCGAGGCACGGACCGAGTCCTTCGCGACGAAGCACCGGCGATGCCAATCCGATGTTGACCACAGAGGTGTTGAAATGGGATTCAAAACGAAAAGTTTTTTTCGGGCACATTCGACCTACATAGCATCCTTTACAAAGTTTGCGCCCACGGCTTCCCCACGTTTGACTGACTAAATCTCTGTTCAACCAGAGTTGGTGTGTTGTTTTGAGCTCTTGTGGGATATTCGCGGCACTCTCTCGCAAAAAACGTCATTGTTTCTCTTGGAACGTATTCTCCCACATCAACTACTTAGGTCCACGAGCCTCGCGACGACGAGGGCAACGTGGTTGAGCACGACCCGATCAACCTGCAGGTCGACAAGATGGACAGGCTACTCACCGTGGCAGACACCAAGCCTGTTAGCGGCTGAAGTTAGCCCATGTTGTCACTCGGATCATGGGATGGTGTTCGGCCAACTTCATGTTGCCGTGCTCGACTGTCGTATAGTCACTCTCGTCGGCGGTTGGAAGCCGAGGTGGTGATAAAGCCTGAAGACTGGGAGGCCCCCCTCCGCCACACCGGGAGACCGGGCGGCGTACCGGTCCGCTGGTTTGGTGATGTCTTGGTTTCGGTTCTTCTACTGTATTTCTAAGTTGGTGCTTCCGGTTAGGTCCTTGCCAGTCGAGTTCTTTATCTCGATATTCGCCGTGTACATACATGCAAATAATAGGCTAGTCTGTGTCTGTCTGTATTTCGGCGCTCTGGCGCGTTCGGCGTTTGTATCTACTTTCGCCTACACTGGCCGTAAAACAGCCTCTGAATTCTGTGCGTCTGTATTCGCTTCTTCTATGTCTAATGCTAGACTTCTTTTCGTGTTTTCAGCCGTCTCGAGTGTTCTTGATTTACAGCGAGGAACCGATGACTATCCTCTTGGTATTTTTCCATTTTTTCTGCGGTAGGAACCCAAGAAAATCCAACCCTACGCCATTTGATTTGTCTGGTCGGGCGAACAAAAGCCCATCAACGTGAGACCGTCTCTGGTCCGTTCATGTTGTTCATTCACTGTTCGGCATCCATGAAAAGCCATATTTGGGTACCGCTTTGCCCTCTGTTGACTTGTTGTCTTCTCTGGTGGGAGCGGCCATGCTAGGAATGCATACGGCCGACGATTGGTACATCACCATCCCATCAGATCGTACCCGTCGGCAAAAGAACTAGTGGTTTCACCCTGCCCTCTTCTTCTTGATCTCGCCACAGATGGACGAAGTTGATTTACATCAACAGTGACCCAACAACAACGATCCCCCACCACCATAATGGTGGTCGAGTAGATTATTTTGTGCGGGGTCGGTAACCGTCACTCCGTGCGAAGGGCGTGATCGCACCACGTTGTGTTAAGGTAGTCAAGCACCCTCGAGGCAGTTGCACAGTGCGTGCAACCGTCTCTGGAAGTAAAAACACCAGAAAATAATCAAGTCATTCGCAGCTGTCATCCGCAGCAAGGAAGTAAGCACAAGATGCCCAACACCCTTAGCAGGATGCAGCGCACCCTCCATGCGACTCGCCGAATACCTCAACGCGCTTCGCGTTTGGTGATGTGAGAGCCTGGTCCGGTGAGAACCCGGCGTGCTCCGTCTCGGCTTTGTAGGGATGCGAGGCCAGTGGTCTAACGACTACGGCCTGCACGACTATGAGTCCCCCCCCCCCCACTAAACCTTCAACGCGTCCTGCTGCTTCCTACAAAGCAACGCTATAGCACCCGCACCCGTGATGCCTATTTCTACCAAACGCTAAACCAGAGCAGCAGCAGCAGCAGCAGCCGCAACAACAGCGGTGGCAGCAGAACTGACAAAAAGAGAAAGGCGGTGGAACTGGGTGCAGGCCGAGATACATTCCCCATTATTGCACAAAAATCATCTTGCTGTACGGACGCTCCCCGTCCTTGCACTGCAGGGGCTTGGCGCAGTAGGGGCAGATGGGGCGGTACACAGCATCTGGCGGGGCGTTATTTGGCATCGCCAGCCTGGACCATCGTTCGGCCACCTATTGCGTGATTGTCAGTTTCAATTCGCGGTATTGTTAGCAAATAACGATTATTAGGTTACACGAGTTTTTGCGTTGTCTCGTTTTGTTTCGGTCCTTGCACTAAGACAGGCCACCAATCGACGGATCACGTACTATGGCTATGGATGTGGATATACATGTGTACGCTCTCCAAAATAGGGCGAGACGCTAAGAAAAGGCTTATTCCGCTCAAGACAAAAAAACTTGCTGGTTGTGCGCTTCTGGAACCTCATGGCCTGGGCGCGAAACCAACAAACGAGCACTATTTCTATACCATATGGTATACCCGTATCCCGGGAAAGTATCGACCACTACTACTGCAACGCCCTACCTCCAGACTGGCGGCGTGCCCACAAGGGTTGAATACGACCGTGGGTACTTCGCGGTCGATCGCTGAACACCAGCCAAACTTTATCTGATCATTGTCGCGCCGCACAAAGGATAGAGACAGCGACAGGTCGAAGGGAAGGCGGATTTGAATTAGAAAAAATGTTAGCACCTTGGACTTGATCGGCGGTTCTTTTCAGCGCAGTATTGACGAAGATAGTGTTCCCATCACAGCTTATATAACGACCACGGGCTTGCATGCGTTCATGGCTATGCCGTAGAGTGGGGCAAGTAGTCCAGGGTGTGATTTCATTCGGTAGTGACACACACGTATTTGTAAGTCACAATGTGACGGGTTGGAGCGCGTACGATTGATTATTGACGACGTGATGATCGGATATTCTCGCAATAGTGCGGAGCGCGTGGAAGATCTGGAGAGATGTTCGAGTGCATAACGAAGTTCAGCCTGAAGCTTGCGCCGGGAAAGCTTGCGCCGAGAAAGCACATCACTTGGGGGTGACAGTGGTGACGGTCTTGGGGTATCAGGTCAAGGCCGAGGGGATCGAGCCGTGTCCAAAGAATTCGTTGAAACCGATGTTGTTGCGATTGCCGATGCAGACGAATGTTGGTCAACTGAGGTCGCTATTGGTCCTCCGAGTAAAAAATTGTCGGGTCATTTGAGAAGCCTAAATAAAACCATAGGACTAACTAGTCGAGACCAAGGCTGAACACTAAGTTACATTTTTTTTTTTCCTGGGACCCTGGATACTCTTTTCCAGAGAACGGGTAACGGAAAGACTCGCCTGAGAACGACCCTGGAACGTTCTGCAGGGTGTATATGATGAGCGAGAAAAAGAAGCGGAATGCACATTGGATGGATAGCAGCGCTGGCGAGGGGAGTCACCCTCCTCGGAGTGAAAGTGTCGGATCATGGACCCCACGCCTAACTATTTGGAAGCCGGAATCAAACCATTTGGTAGACGGCTTCTGAATTACATGTGGGAGACTCCTTTTTTCTGTCCAGCCTCTTGTCGGGGATGCTGACCAGGACACAAAGAAGGAACGACTGCCTCGCTTGGCGTAGGGGCTTGATGGTGCCGCCAGTATGGACAGTCTCGACCGGAGAACAGCGATCTGCTCGTAAAACAAGCTTCTATTGCTGTTAAAACGAATTCCCTTTTTTCGACGCGAACACCATCACCATCGATAGTTGACCGCAGGCGGCGATCCTGTACGATTTGATCCCATTCTCTGCCATTCCCCGGCTCTCCCTTTCTTCTTCATGTTCGGCAGTTGATTCGACGACGTATGTACACAGAACGGGGGAATACCGAGTAAATAGCACGGGGAATGTCCGAGGTTTCCATGCACGAATGAACACACTGACTGCTGCTGCTGCTGCTGCTGTAACCAGAGCTTGGGTATATTTGACTGAGGAGGGCTGCGGAACTAGGAAATATACTTGACAGCTTTCATTTGCATGCAGAGATAACTGAACATCTCAAATATACATAGTCGTTTGGCTGTTGCTCCTATTGAGCATGCGCCAGCTCGTTTCGTCCACGGTTTTCGGATGGCTCAAGTCTAACAAAGGATTGTATATTTGTTCCCCGATCTGCATTGTGATATGTCGATAATGCGCATGTAGTCATCCCCTCCCGCTCAATGTTTGGCACGATTCGGATACATGTCCGAATTGAAGAAGTTCGTCGTCGGTGCATTTTGCGTCACTCGTCGTGGCCAACACCCTAGACATACACCATGCAAGACTTTGACAAATCTTCAACGCAATTGTCTTACTGCTGCTGTTGCTGGTCACACACACACGTAATCCCCACTGCTTCACTTGGGTACCTCACATGGGAACGACTTTAATTGAATTTATACGGACAGACCGGCGTGCAGTCCACGAACTTTTTGTTCCCAGAAAACTCATTAGATATTATTGTCAACAGTGAACAAGATGACGAACAACACAGAGGAGATCGGACACGCACACACGAAAGCGACGTAACTGCTGCTATCACAGGGCTACTTTCCCGTCTACTCTTGTCGTAACTCCCCGACGCACCTCTACGAGCGGACCGGGCGTTCGGCACATGGGGCATGGTCCCCAGGCAAGCTGCTTGGCGTAGCCTTGGACGTGTCCACATGCCGGGAAGATATGCGGCACGAGAGCCTTCCCCTGGTGGAGGAGAATGAGGCAACCAAGTATTGCAGCGCGTACTCATCTGATCGCGCTAAGCTAGGGAGCAGGATATTTACATTTCACCAAACAGCGAGGGGCACAATCAAATCGACTGGGTCCGGAATAATAATTTCGTAGGAAACCAGACTCCTTACGTTCGATCTTGTTGCTTGCCGACAAAAGCCACCCGGTGCCAATGATTATGGCACTTTCACGCACGTTCGATCCAGCTCCCCCCTCGAAAACAACATGCTTTGCAACACACAACGCCTATCGCTACGTCGTCACATAATATCTTCATTCAGTCTACGGTCTGCCGCGCCCCTCTTCACCTCGGTGTCTCCGTCGACTCCCTGGGCATCGTTTGTTTCGCCGACGTCTTCCGCGCCAACCGCGCCATCAGCAGCAGTGGTCGTGGCGACCATAGAAACTGCAGCATCACCGCTAGCACCGCCAGCCTCAGATGACGTCGATGATGTAGTGGGCGGTGGTTGCCACGGCTTGAACTGCAACGTTTGGAGCTGGACTGGGCACTGCGGTTTACGACGGTTCAGGAGTTCGATAACCTGGGAGGGTTGCACTCCCCCTAACCTTGCCATTTGTTCTGCAGACTCGTACAACATCTGTCGGAGGCAAAGAAACAAGTAAGAAGGTTACGACACGATACGTTGAGATGAAGAAGGCGATCAACATAGACGCACCGCAGAGGGCGAAAGAGAAGCATGAACACAAGTCGGTCATGACGCAACAACGAGAGTAGGTGACTGGTGACACACCCATTCCAAGTCTCGTGATTTCTCAGCATGCAAAACACAGAAAACAACGGCATGCTGATGCTCCTGGCCACACTTAGCTCCGATATTCACGGTGCATCACTTTTCGGGATGTGAAGGCCTGCTTCTTCTGTACACGTTCTGCAACCTGCTCGTACCTACCGCACACAGACCCGAGACACTCACTCTTTTCTCCCCGGTTCTGCTGTGCTGACGATGTTCCGTGATCGAAAGGTTCTTTCGAGTCTAAAATAGTCCGAGACTACCCCTCCCGACAATTAACTTCGATTTTCGTTGTCAGGCTCAAGATTCCATGCCCGACACGCTCCACCGGCGTCACGATTCTTCAACGGGAAGAAGGTACAGAAAGGCGTAGCTAGCTGTAGCCCCACCTACCCACTCCCCCTCTCGCTAGACAGCACGCCTCAGTCAGCTTCACCTGTACACCGCCGATATCGATAATTGTCCCCGAAGTGAGTTCGTTAGTTTCGCCGGGAACGAGGTCGCCGATTGTGTCTAGGCGGCCAGCCGCGCGCAACCGGCGCATCGCGCCCACCACGGTCACCTTGGTTCGAACAGGTCGACGAAGGCGACGGCGTGGGTTGTGACGACAACGGTGCACGGGATTTTGTTGTTCTGTGGGACCGAAGAAAATATTTGGAAGTAAGGAGAAACTGCAGCAAAATACCTCCCATCGTCCTTGTGACGAGGTCGTCGGACTCCCGGAGGCTAACAACATGTCTCGTCGATCGTGGCTTGGTGCATTGTACTTAGGGATAGATCTCCATGGATTGCCAACTTCTGCCTCAAAATACTCAAGGTTGGTAACGCGAAATCGCGAAGACGACCTGGAGAGCCATAGACAAGTGGGTGGTACGAAAGCGTTCAATCGTAATCGACCAAAAATTGATGTCTGTCTGCGTCGATTTGTGTCATTTGTCTTCGACCTTTTCCGAGCGATATTGAATACTGCCACAACAATTTTCCGCTTGTTTTTATCTGGCAGTCCTTCGCTTTGTCTCGGTTGTCCTGTACCGTCTTTCGTTTCGTTTCACCTCTTTGTCCATTCCATTCTCGCCTGCCTTTTGTTTTTTCAGTTGTATTAATTCATCTCTTCTTTCGGTGTTCTGGTCAAGCCCAAGGACAGTGCTATGTAGAGACACGCTTGTGCTCTGTGCCCCTCTTTTGTGCCTTTCGTAGGACGGGACCATGCTATAAGTGGAGGGCTGCGACAGTTGGAACAGCACGCGCGACTCTCGCAAACGAGCAAGCATGTAATATTGTGGATGTTTCGTTGCCGACTTCCTGGAAACTACAAAAACGTCGAAGATATCTCGGGCGGCAAGAAATTCCCCGTGAAATCCCACCCCTAAGGACAGAACCTCCTTCCTTCCACTCGCTTACCTCGCGCCACTCGCCTATCTCCGGCTTGAGAATGCGGATCCCAAACGGTGTGACGGCGTCCCACTCCCCGTTGTCCTCCAGCCACTTCGGCGACGACTCGGGAAGGGTCAAGCATTTCCTGTATCGTTCGAAAGAGGGGACGGTGTGTGCGCTAGAGTGAGCTAACCTAGACCCTACTGCTCTACGGTATGTGCCAAGCGACACGCTGGGCAGCAGTTCATGCTGTCCACATCTCCATATGTCTCCGTTGCATATCGCTTCCACACGCTCGCTTCGTGAACCATACCTCGAGTTGAAGCCCGCGGTAAATATCCTGCACCGGTGCGGGGGAGTCCTGTCGACCAGAAGCCGCACGGCGTACCGACTTACCGGCCCGCACACCTTCCCGCCGGGTTTAGACTGGTGCAGCGGCCCCCTCACCGCGAAGTCGTTCTCGACACTCTGCATCCTCCCGAGCTGAAACATGTCGCAGCCATCGTCCGCCTGGCATGGAACATCCACCACATCCTCCGCTCCCCCCAGCGTGTCCATCGGAGCCTCCGTAGTTGACGCGCGCCCTCTCCCAGCGCGTTCGGCTGCTTCCCTTTGCTGCGCGGAAAGCGACAGCTGTAGCCGATAGCCGGCGGCGTGGTTTTGGCTCTCCCCCTGCGCGCTCCTCAGCAAGAAACTTCTCCCTTCCCGATATTGGCCGTTACCGTCACCAGCGCCGCCGCCCACACCGTAGTTCCTTGGCAATCTAGTGTTCGTGCCGCCGATCCCACCCTCCCCACCGCGCGCTCTGTGGGGCGGATTCCTCCCGCCGCAGGACTCCGTCGGTCGCGCCTCCGGTGTCTTGAACGCCACCTGCTTCCCGCAGCGGCCGCACGGTTGCTTCTTCGTTGACCTGACACCACCACCGTCGTCGTCGTGTTCACTTCCGTCGGCATGTTTGACTAGGGTTTCCTTCGAGCGGGTGTTGTGACTAGGACTCGCCATTCCACCTTGGCAGCAGGACGGTCTGCTGCCGATTGTATTGTTCTTGTGGACAGCACCAACACCGTCTTGGGCACCGCCGCCGCCGCCGCCGCCGCCGCCGCTACCACTCCTGCCACCGACTTGAACTCCGTTCGGTGACTCGCGCCGGGCGAGGATAAATCTTGTGTTCTTAGGGCCGACGCGGTGCCACGTCGAGTCGCGCACAGAAAACTCCTGCGTGCGTGTCAGGACCGAAATGTTGGCCAAAATCAGAACGATCACCAAGAGGACGAAAATGCCGCCGAACAGGTCGTCGGCATGTCCGAGCAGGGGGAAGACGACGTGCCGTAGAGTGTTGGAAGAGAACAAGGTTCCACAAAGGTGAGAACCGCTTTAATAGAGAAGGAAAATAGAAGTCCCTGGTGCCTCACTGTGGAGTTGATCCGTGCCAGTACCATCGATACTATCATCGTCTATGTTTTCCGGTGGGGGAATGGTGTAGCGGTGGTCTACGCAAGCAAGCATGATTGCAGGAAATTACGAAGAGACATGCGCAGTGTGGTCAAGCTTTCATCTGTTGCCCCGACGTGCTTACTTTGTATCCAAGCACCACCAGCTGGCCGTAGCTATTGTTCGCCCCGGAAGTTACTACGCGGATAGCCTGTCGGAGGGGATGTCTGGTGAGTACGGGGCATGAGCGGTCGACAAAAACAATAGGGCGTGCGGAAAACGGCGTGATCGAGTCTGGTCAAGCCTTTAGATCGAACAGTTTGAGTGTGCATTCCGCTCGACAGAAAAGCTTCGACTCATACTACGCCGTCGACACTTGCTCGTTGGGATGCTAATTTTGGGTGTTATTATGTCTACTCCAAATACACGAGAGAATATTGTCCTTCTGGCCACCCTGCTCCATTTTTCGCCTGTTCGCGGAAGCCGGCACAAGGCTGACAAAGCAACAACATCCGGTGACCGCTCGAATGACCAAACAAAGCTCGCAACTCACTGAATACAACGGTTTAAGTTGGAAGTTTCTTCCCAAGGATTCAGAACCTGTCTGCATAGACTTCGACTTACTCGACATGTTGTTTTCCTCCGCATTGACTAGCGGCTACCCCGCCGACCCCTTCTACCGTGGATGCTGCCGAGAGCACACTCTCTTCTCCCGGAGGAGGTCGGCACAGGTTCCTTGGAGGCTCCAGAGCACAACACCTGTAAGCAGGGGGAAAGGAAGATCTTGCACTCTTCACAGAAGTGGAGACCAAAGGCAACCTTCTTGTCTCGCTGCTAGCGTCGCTACCCCTCGTGGTGTTAGTGACGGCTCCGATTATTTCTCTCCAAGTTCGACACGCCTCCGACAGCGACAAGGCCGCCTCCGCCGCTTGCGTCGTTTCTTCCCCTAATACTGCTGGGTGAACAACCTCTCCGGTAGGATGGCGTGGTGGCCAGAAAAGTGATTGCTTTTCCGCACAGAACGTTCCGTTGCTCCGGATTCCCCCGAGAACAGCTCGAAGGTTGAGGTCGGCTAGTCGAGCGACTGTCATCTCGCTGTCAATGAGCTGGGCGAGGAGACAGGTGGTAGCACCTGCAGAGAGGTCGAGTTTAGATCTCGCCAAACAGACCAGCTCGGGCAGACCCGTTTTAGCTATTTCCTCCAGCTTTGCTTCGCGCGAGATCATCAAGGCCAAACACACCCGAGCGGCCCCCAACGCCACGAAGTTGTCGACGACCACCCCGCGTCGGAGAATGTGGTCGTGTATCTCGGCAATAAGCAGATCGTCCTTCTCCGTAATTACTGATGTCAGGGGTGATAAAGACAGTGCTGTAGAAGATGCCGCCCCCGCCGTCGCTGGTATCTTGCTTTCGTCTCCGCCCACCGTGGGCGAGTTGTCAATATATGCAGCCGACGCAAGTCTTCTTGCACAGCTCTTCTCACCACCACTATCTCCTCCGATCGCGTGGCCTGTTGGTCTCGATCGGTAGTGAACACTTTCAGGAGCGGAAGGCCGGGACTGTGGCCGGAAAGCCATTACTTCCACAATCGATGTCGAAGACGACGACATACCATCAGGAGTGCCCGATCTTAATGTTCCAATAGCGGTAGGCTCGTGCGCTGGTCGTCCCCTCGACCTAGGACATGAAGCAGCAGTCGCGCAGTAAATCTTATCAACACCAGCGTCTCGAGTTCGATCTGCTTCTGTTGCTTCCGGCTCCATCGGCCTAACCACATGGTGGTAGTAAATGCCACCATCAGCGTGAAGAGATGTCGTCGTGCTGGTTTGGTTCGATGGGGCGACGACGTCAACTGCAGTGACATCAGGCGTCTTACGTGAAAAAAATTGAGTGGCGGTGCACCGCCCGAAGCACCATCGCATTTTCTTTCTCCAGACTTCAGGCTGCGCGCCCTAGTCGGCTTGGGTTGCTACGGACAATGCGAAAAATGGGCAAGGTGCCGATTATCCAACCGCGTTCGTCCACGTGAATGATTGACAAGTACACGTTTTCTACCCCTCGGGATTGATCATGTGCCGCGGAAAACGGAGGGACGATCGAGCACACTCAGCCAACGATCGGTCTGCGGCGCAGGGCTTGCGTAACCTGCGCTATTTGTAGACAGGCGAACCACTACGTCTTGTAGATACGTATACGTAGATGCGCAGACGTCCGCTTTGCCGGTCCAACTGGTACCGTTTCGTGAAAAATTGCGCCGCGTTGTTTGGTTATGGTCGTTGGTCACTGGCGTCACTGGTCACTGGTAGGATTGTATGCATAGGCTTGGGGCTTGGGGAGGATGGCCCTCCTAAGTGTCTCTCATACAACGTATGAAAATCTCAGTGTGTTTTCTTTCGCTCTCATCACCTAGAAATACTACATAGGATCTCGGCCCTCTTCGCCAAAAAAATGCTTCGAACGAAAATGGCAACATGGCGTCACGGCAGTCAACAGCAAGCAGTGGTCCACAGCAGCAACAGCAGCAGGAGCAGCATGCGAAGTAAGGGCAATCAGAGCTCGAAAATTAATAACGCCGGTAAAGTACCTTCCCATACTCTAATCACCATGTCTGCCCGTTGCTGGAGGCGGTGCTGGGACAGAATAGCCTGAAATAATCTGAAATGGAGGCGCGCTTTGATGGACGAGCGCCTCGACAGCAACAACAACGGCAAGTTGGTCCATGGTGACATCATCCTTGATGATTTAGTCTAAACTGTGCGCAGCTGCCACACGCAAGGAAGTAAGCACAACATGCCGAATACCCTGTGAGCAGGATGCAGCGCACCCTTCATGCGGCTCGCCGAATATGTTACGGTTCTTCGTGCTTGGTGATGTGAGAGCCTGGTCCGGTAAGAACCCGGCATGTTCCGTCCCGGCCTTGTAGGGATGCGAGGTCAACGGTCTAACGACTACGACGCACAGCGCTTAGACAGACAGATGGCTTGGGATTTATTTTGAGTGTAGGACTCTTCCGGTGAACATAGAAGATATTTAATTCCTTCGAAAAGGAGCCAGGAGGTGAAACTCAATCATGGAAGGATACAGGGGACATTATTTAGTATAGTCTAGCCCATGCTTGAGGGAGCTGATTCCCCCCCCACCCATCTTTTATCATTTCTACCAGAGCCAACAGGCAACAACAGCAAGAGCTCCTGTTCTGGACGATTGTCAAAACCAGTGAGTTCTTCATGGCGGTCTTCAAGATTGCACAGCGCGGCATGTCCCTACGAGACCTCTAAATGAGTTCTACGAGGTAGACTCTAACGGCAGACAGAAGGAATGGGATTCGTTCACGATGTTCGGCAACGGCGCCGCCCATATCGTATGACGTAGAAAAAGATGTCTGCGAGAAACCTGTCCCCAATATCTAACCGGCGGATCGGTGTATGACCCAACTCTTGTGGGGAACAAGTAGTCTAAGTATCATCAGGAGGGAAACCCGAAAGGAAAAGCAAGGAACCAGTCTTAGCTACCCATAAAAAAAGGAGGTTGAATCAATACATGAATCGAAAAAAAAATCAAAACGCACCTGACATTACGCGGTACAGACCAAGCGGCGGTTGATTCTTTGCGAACCACACACACACACGGCAGCGGCGACTGCCGCCGCCTCGGGATTGGGATTGCTGAAGGAAACGGGTGTACGTCTGAATCCCTCCGAATCGACGAAACTCGCTTTCGCGAGAAGTGGAGGGCGCTTACTGAGAGTCGTGCGGGTATATATATACAATAGACAGGGAGAGGTGGACCGCAGTCGTGACCCAGGCTAATTAGTGCGTAAGCAATGTATCGGATCGTGTAGACTGGCGCCTACAATGCATGGGAGGAAAAAATCAGTGGTTAACCCTGTTGCTACATCGCAGCGTGGTGTCTCTTCTCACACTCAGCGTTTTTGCACACATGGTGTTTGCTACGCAGCCAGCCCTGATCGGCGTGTCCAGCGAATATTGCACGGCCAAGCACGCGTCTTATTTTTTTATTTTCTGAACATGACACAACGAATCCATCTCTACGCAAAGAGTTCAAGACAGATTAGCAATGAATCCATAGCGTCAGTGAAGGCTACCTGTGTTTCCATAATTTCCCGAGCGACACACAGCGACATCTCCCCCGTGGGTAACAGGGTCAACAAGCCATTTTGGCGTAAATATGTATCCAACACAACAAAGGCCCCCTCTACGAAGGAACATACGAGGGGAGCGTACAGAGTCGATGCCACGGTGGTTGCATCTCTTACGCTACTCTTCCAAGAAATCCCGACCCCAAGGACTGTCCAATTTCATATCATTTCGCGAGACGTGTAGTTCATTGGAAGGAAATGATTACCACACTCCGGAGTATAATTCACCGTGTATTACAAAACCTAGTACACAGCAGAGTCAAACCAAGAGAAGCAACAAGGACGAAAACAAGGCGGGATTAGAGACAACTATCTTTCGGCAAACGCGTTCATGGCGCACCACCTACGATTCGTCCGCTACCTCGTGACAGACGAACTCCAACTCATTCGCTTGTGCCGTCATGAGCATTCGTCTTGCCACTACTCCAGCATACACGGACTGCACAATCAAACAGATGACATTCATAAATAACATGAAAAAGAAAATAAAGCACAAAGCACAGGTGCTCACCTAGTGAGGGGTGCGTGAGGAAGACAAAAGGCCGAAAATGACCAACACAACGAGTTGTGCAACGACGAGCGCTTGTTCCACCGTCACCGCGGCGTATCGTACTCAACCCCCCCGCCCCCCCCCGCCCCCCCGCGCGCGACGAGCGCTGACAAGCGTGCTCCCACCCCCTCAGTGTGAACGTGTGCCCCCACTCCCCCGCGGCGTGAGGCGGCCCGTATGTAAATCAAATATCGCACCGGGCATGCAACCGCTCCACAATCCAAGCGCGCTATGTTGAAGAGAGAACAAAGTAGCACCAATGGGTCCGCCAAATAATACAAGGTTCATGAACACATCCCCGTTCCGTTCCCGTTCCCCGCGCTGCAGAAGGCAACAGCAGCAGTAGCAAACCTAGCCCCATGATTCAAGAAAGCGTGATACGGTCGGCGTATCAGACCGAGAAAGATGGCGTTGAGCGAGTCTCGGAGAGACTCGGAGTAATGGCCTCCTCCCGCAACTTTCGCTTGTTGGCCTCGTCTATGCGCTTCGCGTTGAGCATGAGCGGGTACGGCAACACGTGGGACAGCATGATGATGAAGATCAGGGTCTCCGGCCAGTTGGTGTAGTCCCACACCCACGAGATCACGTACGGCACGATGCTTGCCCCGAAGTTGAGGCCGAACATCACCACCGACATGCCCATCTCGGAGGGCATCGTCACGCGGTTGTTGAGGTCGTAGCAGTAGCCCACGGTCGGCCCGTTGTAGAGCCCGTATGCCGCGATCCCGGTCCACAGGACAAACGCAGAGCTCTGGAACACTAGGATTGCCGCCGCCGCCGCGGCACCGCACAGGAACAGGATGGTGGAGTGCCGGTACAGGCGCGGAAGGGTGAGGTGTCGCTGGTCCTGCAGACCCGCGAGACGTCCGATGGTAATGGCCGTCCACAGCACAACGATGAGGAGCTCCGCGTGCGAGTCGTCGATGACGTCGGTATCGTCGACGTAGCTCTCCAGGTACGCGGTGGCGCCCACCTACAGTAAATAGGATATTGGCCGTGTTGGGCGCACGGGAGGTATTAAGCTGGTAGCTCCAAGCAAGCAAGTAAGACAGGTGGTGGTCATCGCCTTGAGCGCGTAGCCGGGTTTAAACCTGTTGGAGAAGCTAGCAAGTGGAGCCAGGACTGTTCGTGGTGTGATAAAATTGTGTTGTGTGTGGGACACACACAACACACATCATGGTATGTGTTGTGGGGAGGTCATGAGCTCACGATCACAATCCTTCAAATATGACTGGTCGTTGGATCGACACAGCTGGAGCTCTTGAAACGAACGGCAGGGTGCGTGTAAGAACGGAAGACTGCTGCGGAGTCTAACGAGAGACACCGCGGGTCTGGGCTGCTGACTTAATACCATACACAACTCTAACAATGCAAGGAGGAAAAGCAAAGACACCAACACAACTACTACGCCTGACAGGGGGCACCTCGCAACCCGCAAGACCAACCCATACGGGAGGTCAATATTCGGAAAACCTCAAGGCACCAACATGTGGTTGTATTCCGTGGCTACCCCCTCTCCCAAGAAAGAATAGAAAATTACTAACAAAGCGCCCCCCCTTATCGCGCTCAGGTAAAACGATCCTCTTCATCACGATACAATCAAAACGGTTGCGATCTTCGTCTGGGCAGACGAACGAAAGAAAATTCTGCTCTGGCCGTGGACTAGCTACTGCCGGTCCCGATAAGACGAGCTGTAACGTTCGACGTTCGCTCACAAGCTAAGAGCGGCACTTCGCCCAGTCTGGGTTTGAGAGAGAACAAAACTGGAACCAGTCTTCACGAGTGAAAAAAAGACTGGAAGGCAAACACCACTGCGGCACTTGTACATCGGGCGCACGCACGCCGCCGGCGAAATAATTCATCAGGTTTAGGCAGTACTGCTGTCCCCATGATGCCACGGAAAAGAAGGGGGAGTCCTCTCACCTTGCCGCCAATGAGGCAGAACACCATGCCGCTGATGTGGAACTCGATCTTGTACCTGCGGTAGAAGGCGGCCATCTTGCAGATGCTCGTCGAGCTTTCACCCGGCACCCCCACGTCTTCATCTCTGCGCTCCGGCATTTTTTTCCGCTCCTGCAGAAACGGGAGCAACATGTCAAAAAATATCAGTATCAACTGATATAAGTGTTCTCTTGAATACAACACAGCAGTGTACATTGTCACATTCTTCCATGAGCGATTTCAGTAGCACAAAACAACACCCGTTTCAGTATGCCGTGATATAGCACACCAACGCTTGGCAGGTGCCTAGGATATAAATTGAACACGGCACTAGAAAAAAAAAGGACAAATTTCGAACGCGGAAGAACGCAAATAACAAAAAAAAAGCTCACCTCGAGCAGACCCTCGTACTTTTCTGGGGCGGGCAGGATGATCAGGAACACCGCCGTCGCGCAGCTCACCGCCGACAGGATGACGTACTGGACAAAGAGCGAACCGGTCAGGTAGCCGATGAGCGGCACGAGCGCGCCCGAGATGCCGAAGACGACAGTGTTGGCCCCCAGCCAGGGCCCGGCCTTCGCCCCGTGCAGCTTCCGGGTCATGATCTGGCAACCCGTGTCCGTGATGGCCGTGCAGAGGCCGAGCACAAAGAAGGCGAGGTGGAGGGTGTACACCGAGGTGATAAACGGCATGTAGACCAGGACCGACGTCAGGAGGAGCAAGATGATCGACATGACGTTGTTCCCGCGCATCCAGAGGTACAGCTTGGACGAGACCACCGCTCCGAGGACCGCTCCGACGCCGCGAGCGATGAACACGGACCCGACCTGCGGAGGGGGGGTAGATCGGCGGGGTGAACCGAATGTGACCGCAAATAAGAGTTGCACACCGACCCTATCTTGGCCGGCGAGAGGCTACCCCACACGAGGGGTGAGATAGCGCAGCAGGCTGGAAACGTGAAAGGAAAGGAACGACTAGAGCGCCAAGGAAACGGTGACGGAGAAACACAAGCGAGAGCACAAACACAAGTGACGAAGCTCCAGGCTGACGATGATTGATATGGTATTTATCCGACACGCGATGCACCAGAAGAGAAAACCTTGCGGTACAAAACCCGTCCGCGCTGGTGCGCCGCTCTGCTGGAAGGCGTGACGATGCTCGACACAACCAAAACAGGCAAAGAAATCCATACGTGATGGCCTGTGAGCAAGACATCGGTCGCGTCTAGATTTACTAGTCTTGTTTCAGTTCACACGTTGGTTGGGGTTGAAGAGACGGAACTTCGTTAATGTCTTCGCCCTCTCGTTCCCAGCAGGGCGAGAACTTGGGAAAAAAAAACACCATGAATTTACTCACGATACAGCTGTATCTGGGCATTGGCAGGCCTTGTCACGATCGTGTTTTGAATTTCCTGCTGCTGACCACCGCGATACGTATCTTGTATACACGATTGCATTCGACCCTGTTCTTGGAGCCCCGTGCGTGCCTCGCATGGCACATTATACACCTCGACAGTACATGGCTCCTGCAATACGCCCGACAAAAAACAAATGCAGCTACATACCAGCGGATATTCCCAGAAGAAAACTGCAAGACATCGCCGATACCGAATAAGCTCAGCGCCCAGGAAAAATCCGGGCGCGGGTGGATACGCAGAAAAGCTTGTGTTGCGTCTGCATGACAAACGACGCTCGACAAGACTTGGGGATTTGCCAGGTGTGTTCCCAATTCCAACAGGAGTTCAACAGTCATACAACAGAGGAGCTGGGTGGTGGAACCAAGGGTTGCTCGCGGATGGTTTTCCAGCTATCCCCTCCCGCCCGCCCCCCTCTCCTGAACCGACACTTTCGATCTCGGGGCCCGCGCGTCCTCATGGCTTCTGCAAACGGCCTCTCCTTGCCTTTACACCAATAGAGGAAGAGTAGAAAATGGACAAGCGCAAGGTCGTACTTGGGGGAATACTGAATTCGACCGCGCCGTGGTAAAAATAGTGCATACATATGTGGACGCGCCAGGCGGAAATATCACGCGCGGTGGTGGTACGCAGGAGGTTTGATTTTCTCTGCCTTATTTTTGTTGCTTCTCGTGTCCTACCGCAGTACCATACACGAGTGCCTCTCTTCGTTGTGGTTGCCTTTGTTTTGACTTTTCGGCGACTAGAATATACCATGGTATAATTACGGTAGGCTTGGCGCGATAAGGAGTGTTGAAATTCGCTGTTGTATCAAAGTTGTGCGAAGACAATCCAAACTTACTGTCATATGGCGCCATTTCTCTGTGTCGTGACCACCATATTTACGGGTTGTTGTTAAACTGAGTTCACGGGTACCATCTGCGTGCAGAGCTTTGGGGAAACAAGGAATAATAGGAGCGCATGCTGACATCGCAATAATTGGCGCTGCGGTACACGGTGTGCCAAGTCGGCACGGCACACATTGCAAGAAGAAACAATGCAAGTATGTCGTGTAGGACCGCCCATGGGATGATAGGGAATCACACACGGCAGTTGTAAGCATCATGCTCTCGGGCCACGCGGGGAGGATAACAACATCCACGTTGTTGGCGTGCAACGGTGAACGACGAAAATCCGTCCTTCTACATCGTGAAAGTTTTGGGGAGCAGCGCCGTCAATCGTGCACCTTCGCAACCATTGTCTGTCTGCATGAACCCTTTCAAATATTATTGTGCTGTAAGTGGACCGGTCCGGGCACTTCGTGTGACAGAGCAACCGAGAGTGACGTGATCGTGATCAGGTAGAGGCAAGGGGATTGAAGCGCCTCTCCACCGATCGACTTGAAGGAAAAAGCACGTTGGTTCGCTGCTGTCTTCTACATGCTTGCCTGGAGGTGGTACGTGATTGGCGTATTGCATACTTCATACGACTAGGGACTGTGGGTCACGTGGTGGAGGAGCGGGATCGATCATCGAGCGATCACATACTGCTGGACACCATGATTGAACGAACGGTAGGCGGCAACTTATGGGTGTAGAGTAGTGTGCTTGCTCTGTGCCCTCTATACAACTTGAAAGTACGAGCTCGTGACCAGCGAGGTAGTCAAAAAATTTATTGACTGACGGGCAGACACAACCAGCAGAGTCCTGTGTGATGCGGCGGCCACACCTTCGTGTTGCGGGCAAAATCACGGTATAACAGAGCCAGCCTGACACCCTGGTCATGCTCTCTGACAGCGATGCTACAGATCAGACCCAACTTCCGAGCAGCCGCGTTTTGTGGGATGACCAGCGTGATTCGCTAGGGAACGCCGAGAGCATCGGTTTCGGAGGAACAGGGCGCCTTCCTTCCCTTTTCGATCCTTGATACCAGTAAAGATTATCGGGCCTGATGAAGCATGTCGCTCTTTCCACCACGACAAAACTGCTGTACCGTTCTCAGAAAGTGCGGATAATACTCGGTGGGAAAGATATCACCACAACCACCACGAAGAACAGCAGCAGCGCACAACACACAAAAGGCATCTGGCTCTCACGTCGGTTGCCGTTGTGCTGCAATTGTCTGCGAGGTCGTCCAGCGTCGATCCGAGGGCCACCAGCACGATGCCGCACACTCCCATCGCGAACATGTACCCGGTGCCGAGCGCGTACTTGTAGTGCTTCCGTACATCCTCCTCGGGTGTCGCCGACGCTGCCTGCTTGTCTCGGCCTCGTGCCGGGGACGACGGCGGCGAGGGACTCAACAGGGTGGTCGTCTCACTCTCATTCTGGTAGCTCTCGTACTGGTTGCCATCCGGACCGGCCATCTTGCTGCGCCGCTATGGCTCTCACCAGGCGAGGCTGTAGCGTGCCTCTCTCTCTCTCGGGGTGGGAGCACAGGGGTGGGGCACAAGGCCGGGAAAAATCAAACCCAAGCCCGGGATCTGTCCGCGCTGCAAGTCGCTGCCGTCACTACTGTGGGAGATCAGAGAGCTGCAACCACAGGACAGCAAGGAGGGTGCCGGACTTACGGGGGTTGGGACGGACTGGCCGGCGACGGACGCCAGAAGACGTGGGGAGTGAAGTGGGGATCGATTGTGTGTGATGGGAGCGTACAGCAGTCACGGTATATGCATATGAGCCCGGCGGGTCAAGCTGATTCGGGGAGGCTCTCCACCTTGGGTTTTCCGAGAGGTACCCGGTCTCCTCTTCTGATTTCACTCACGGAGCCCCCTTTGCCCACGCTGCACAGCCGCGGCCGCGGTCGCTGCTCACTACCAAACTACAGACACATTGTGAGCGACCAACTTGCACCCAAGTCGCAGCCGTGAGCTGACTTACAGCCTGATCGTCGAACACCGAGGACAAGAGCGAAGGGTAGAAGACGGACGTGGCGGAGACAGAGCTCGAGGTCAAGTTCGCAGGCGAAGAACAAGCGGAAGGGCAGAGGGAAAGGCGGCAGCATTGCGCGAGAGATTTTGACTAGGTCGTCACTTCTTGTCGCCCTGCCCCTCCCCCCCCACAGCCGAGAGAGCACAGGATGGCAACGGGACTGTCGTTCTCCTCAGGTCAGTGCTTGTCTTCTGGTTCCCTCTGCCAGTTGGTCCCCTTACTCTGCCGGCTTGGATTATTACTCACAGCAACAGCTTGACCTATCTCGGCTGGTTTCGTACGCCCACCAGACGGTGGAGGCCGCATGGCCCACCCTCCAGCAGGCAAAGCACATTATACATACACCCGTGCGTTGTGAGTATGCCCTTGCTACGGCTGATGAAGCCGCTAGTGTGAGGAGTGGTGGACTCGCTTTTTGATGGCGGCAGCATCGATGTTCGTGGGGGTAGTTCTGCCCTGGGATGTCTTGAGCCGATCTTCTGTTTGCATGTGGACCTCACCGCGACATCATCCTTACATCATCATCATCTGTAGTCTAGTAGGTCACTCACTTTTCGGGAAAAAAAAAAATCGTGCGTGGCTTTCGCCGCTTGGCCAGGGTGGGCCCAACCTGTGCCTTTCTCTCACCAACGTGCGTTTATATTCCAGCGCCCGCGCTCCTCTGCTTGGTTCCAACCGGCAACGGAGTCTGATGGAAACGCGTCAGGTAGACGGCATTCCGCTATACCGCCGCGGATGTAGGTGTCAACACTCTCCGTCCCCCAGCATGTTTACACGAGAAAAACACGCGCTTCCGCCACCTCCACCCTCTACACCCCGACACAGCTATGTACATTCATCCCTTTGTCTTTCTCGCACTCCAATACACCTTGGTAGCCCATGAAGGAGTTATGCGATGCCACCGTCATACCGTGCCAGTCCTTACTCGAGCTGGTACTCTTTAAGGAGCGCGCCATCAAAATTATTTGTTTTTTTTGTAGATACCTGGCGCAAGACTTAACCTTTGCGGCCATCCCGTGTGAGGCCCAGCGACCAGCCTGTATGAGGCGCTTGTTCTGAATGCCGACCCCTTCTCGGCGCGGCGTTTGCTACTGCACTTGTTGAGTTCGCCCTCTTGTATGCGCCATGCGTGCATGTGTGTATACACACCGGACAAATTCTGTACCGCTATTTACTTGGACATACCTTGGACGAAATAAATACGCTCACGCCCCCGTGCGGGAGATCGCGCGGCACAATGTTGTTACGGTCGTCTGCCAAAATTTTAAGAGCATCCCATGCATGCGCCACAGGAAGTTGAGAAACATTAAAACAAACACAGAAAGACTACCCAGTTGTTGCGACGGTGAACTCTTTCGATGTTTGTACTTTAACGGAGAGTATGGAAAGATTCAAACTTTCGCCTGCCGAGAACGCGCGCCAGTTCGCGGCACGGCAAGAGTAGACTTTGTCACCACGTCCCTGACGGCAGGGAGTGTGATTAGTATTCGCGGGAACAAGCGGAACCCGAGATGGAAGGGAGTGTCGTGATAAAGAACGGGAGACGTTAAAGGTGTGGAACGTACGCCAGCGCCACGAGAAGAAAGATGGCGGCTTCCGGAGATAACAGAAAAGGAAGGTGGCCAAAGCGTCAACAGCCGCAGGAAAGGACAAGCCAGAAATTTTCATGGATACCGAAAGCAGAAACAAAAAAAAGAAAATTTATTCAAAGTGGTACCGCTACGGGTAGGCAAAATTCTCAGCCTCGAGAAACATGAATTACATGAACAAGGTTAACGACGAGTGAATCCGCCCCAATATTCGAGTATCCCCGCTCCCCTCCACGCGTTCAATATCCCGTCCTGCCCGGGGAGAGGGCAGAAACAGCCGTAGCTGTTCGTTGCGATGTTTGTGTTGATGCAGTAGTGGACACAAGTTCGGCAGTTGGCTGTGTGCTGTGTTACCCTTCTTGTTCGAAGTAAACAAGGGAACATGGATGAACGGAAAGCACACGCCGGTAGACATGGTCTCTCGTTAAACACCAACAGGCAGGGTCCGACGCAGAACCTTCGGAATTGCACGAGTTACCATACAGCGCTGGAGCTGACAGTGTGCTTCGCACCCGATATCATCGACCTCCGCCAATTTTTCGCCCTAGCTCGCCATGGGTTGGTTCTCCTCTGCGCCCACCTTAGTTGCGAGTCCGAGCACATTGCCTTACTCAACTGCTTCTCGAGGCCTCCGGCCCACCCGTTCTGCAAGTAAGTTGCGATGTTGCTCGTGTACTGTAGATTTTGGATAGGTTTGATACTCGGCGGTGGGCGTTTCTATACGAGGAGGGGGGGGCAACTACAGGCTTTTTCTGAAGTGAACATAACGTAAAACATGCGTTCAGGGCAAGGAAAACATGGAGAACGTCCTGTACACTTGCGCCCGATTTCCGCAGGGCGTCAAGAGAGCTAAACCTGCTGACGGACTAATTTCGCCCTGAACACCATCCGTGTGTTTGCACCCGCCACGTTTCTTGATCCCGTCCTTGGTTGTTGCCATGGCAGTGGTACGCCGCCGTTGTGGGTCTGTGCTCCTTTTGGTGCCTCGGAATTGAGTCCCTGTCGTCACCGTCAAGTCGTAATAGTTGCAAACTGAACGACCTCAACTTCCTTGGTGGTACTTTCTCATGTGAACGGGCGTTCTGTATCTCGTAGCACGTCGTGCATGAGACGTTCGAAACACGACAGTTTTATCCCCACTCTACAGCGGCACTACCGCAATTGGGGAATCACGAGAGGTCCTCGTATGTACCCCCTCAGTCACCGGCAAGATCTCCGTCAAACAAATGACGTTTTTTCCCGATGAGTACTTCAAGGAAATTTCTCTCATCTGTTGGGCTCGCCTGTCTCAAGTCGCGGGTCCAATCGTCTTTCGGCCACTTGAACCGTCTTTTGTTTGTGTCTGCAGCCGTGAATCCACCATGTTATTGCTTATCCTAGAGAGATATGTCTTTGGTGGCAACCCCGTGTCCATGCGAAACAGCAATCTTCACCCCTGTAACCACAGCGTCGTATTGTTGCCCACAACATGTACACAACGTCAAGCTACATCCGCGGACCACCCGTAGAACCTTTGGGGTTGACCCCCACCACGAACGCACGGGAATTGGCAATCAGAGTTTTTCGGGCGCGTGTTCCTTTACAGTATGTAGTGGCGAAGCCTAGCAGCATCTTGCTAGGGATCCGGTTCATCAGTTTCAGCGATACAGCAGTGATTTGGGTGTGTTATTTTCTTGAACCCTCAAACCCCCATTTTGTCGTCAAGGTGTAGTGGGGATGCTTGAATCATTCGCCCGATGTCCCTTGGGCACTGTCTTCGGATGTTTCCGATATCGGCCGCAGAAAAAAAGTGTAACCCAGCGATGGCACGGGCAGGAGACATTCGTTGCGGAAAGCGCACAGCTTCTGTATGTCTGTCGTAGATTACCTTGCCACCTTGTGGCAGGCCTGTGGGCCTCTGGTAGAAATCCTTGCCGGCGAGCCCCCTTCCGTCCTTTCCGGCGAGCCCCCTTCCGCTGCTCCCGTTTGTGTCATGTAGTTGACGGTCATTATATTACGTGCGCCAGACCTTTCGCAACGTGCCGGTTTCCTTTGTCACAGTAACACACTAGCGGATGGGTCCTTGTCACAGGGAAAACACGTGAAGCCTTCTTTATCGGCAGGCACCTGGAAAGTTTTTCGTGTGTCTTGGTTATTTTCGTACTCTACATCAAGGTTGCGCTGGCTTGCAATACCCTGCCTAAGGATTGCCCTGCCCAAGTAGCAGCTGTCGGCAATGAGGCATGCGGCCGGTGACTTTCCCGGTTTTGGGTGTCGAAGGTCTCTGGCGTGTCTCTTGTCCCGGTGTTGCGTGCGGCATTTCCTTTATATGTACGTTTGGACGAGGTACATATGCATACGAGTATTTCAGATCTCGCATCTCAACCAGAGAGTGATACCACTAGCTGTGCGTGACGTATTTGTGGCTGTCTACCTGTGTGCACACGGCTTCAGAGGCCGTGCCATGTCGCGGGCAACAGCTCGAGCAAAGTCTCCGCGCGGTTTTGCCCCGCAAGCGTGGCGTCCCGTTGCAACGCTGCATGGCCATCTTCATGCGTATTTGATTCCATGCATTCCATTCTCCGAGTAACGAAATCCTTCCCCGCCCTTGTAATCTTGTGTCTCTCTCCGCCGGGCATTCCCGACCCCCCCCCCCTCCCGTTGACTGCCTCTTGCCCACAGGGAAGCAGCATTTGCCCCACGGGCCGTACGGGGGCAATGGCAGCAACGCCGTTGGGCGCGTGAAGGACAGCCAGGGTGGCGGTGGTGTTGACGTGGACGGTGGCTCTGTCGGAGACGTTAACAGGCGGACGGTGGCCGGACGGGAAGGAGACGGCGGAGGTGGCAGCGGCGGCGGCGTAGGCGACAACACACACATCCATTCTACCACCAATCGCCAGGTGTACGGCAGCAATGCCATCGGACCCCTCGTCGCCGGCCGCTTGCCACTACCTTCTTCTAGCACGAACGCCAGCAGTATGAGTAACAACGGGAACAGCGGTGGCAGCACCGCCGCCGGCGTTGTGACGAACTCCTTCCCCGGGATGAGCGCTGGCTATCCTCCTCCAAGGGTAGATATCAGAAGCAACCCGCCGGGGCTCTCTGCGTCCGACGTCAGCAGCATGAACATGGGCATGGCGGCGGCCATGCTGGGCGGGATGAACGGGATCCCTCCAGGCGCCATGTTTGGAAGAGCTACCACGAGTGTGGCGTCAGGCGGGGGCATGCCGATGGGAATGGTGGTTCCAACCGGAGGCGGGATTGGTGGAGGGGTGCCAGGGGGAGGCGCAGTTGCAAGCGCGGCGATGAGAGAAGGAGGGGGTGTAGGAGGCGGTGGTCAGGGACAGCACGGGGCGGGGGCAGAACCAGGAGCCGCAAGAAGCGCTGCAGGGGCTTTCATGGCGGATTGGTCAGAAAGACCAGACATGGGAAGAACCGATATCGATGTGGGGGAGGAAGGGGACGGTAGCGGCACCGGAGCGAACAAGCGTAGGAAGACAACTCCTACCCCTTCCTTGCCACCGCCGAACCTCGCTACCTCTAGCGCCGCGGCGACCGCCGCAGCCGCCGCAGCCGCTGCCGCCGCAGCCGCAGCAGCAGCCAACTTCCTGCCGCTGCCACCGCCGCTGCCTCCTCATCAGCAACAACAGCAGCAGCAACATCAACATCACCAGCAGCAGCAGCAGCAGCAGCAGCAGCAGCAGCAGCAGCAGAACACCTATTCCGGCTCAAACGGGCCGGCGGGCGGCGGAGGAGGCAATCCGTCAGCAGGAGCAGCAGCAGCAGCAGCAGCAGCAGCAGCAGCAGCAGCAGCAGCAGCAGCAGGCGACAGCAGCGGCGGCGCAAGAGAGCAGCACGCCCCCCCGCCGCCGCCGCCGGAGCGGCGGGCGGGCGGGCAGCCGCAAGAGCTAGTGCGGGTGTGCCAGCACCTGGGCTGCCGCCGGGGGCCGTGCTACGGGTGGGAAGGGGAGAAACGCGCCACGTTCTGCGCGGCTCACGGCCTTCCGGGCCAGGTGAACGTGGTGTCGCCGCGGTGCGCCCACGAGGGCTGCCGCCGGGGGCCAAGCTACGGGCAGCCCGGCGTCAAGAAGCCGGTGTTTTGCTCCGGGCACCGCCTACCGGGCCAGGTTAACGTGGTGTCGCCCCGGTGTCAGCACCCGGGGTGCTCGCGGGGGCCGTCGTACGGTCACAGCGTGGACGGGCGGAAGCCCATGTTCTGCGCCGGGCATCGGCAGTACGGAATGGTGAACGTGGTGTCTCCCCAGTGCGGGGAGGTGAACTGCACGCGGGGCCCGTCGTACGGGTTCGAGGGCCACAGGGCGACGTTCTGCGCCAGGCACAAGCAGGAGGGGCAGGTGAACGTGGTCTCGCCGAGGTGCAAGGAGGAGGGCTGTACCCGCGGCCCGAGCTACGGACACGAAGGGGACCGCCGGGCGTCCTACTGCGCACAGCACAAACGACCCGGGTGAGAAGTAGTTTTTTGTTGTTGCTGTTGTTGCCCGTCACCTGTACGTGAGCTGTTTACTCCTGCGCGACTATTACATGATGTCGGAGCTCTACGCTTCGCTGTTTTCATGTAAAAAAGAACAACCACTTGTTCGAAGTTGTTTTGTTTCAACCTGTACGTCTCATGAAGTGATCACGGGTCTCGAAGAGGGTGGGGTGCATATCATCTTAGGTTTCCTCGTTACAACAGATTTTTCTGTTTGTGTGGCTTTGTCTCCCGAGTTATCTATCTTCCCGAGCGAATCGGCTTGCGAGCCGGGGGTTCAGCAGGATGATGAAACAGGGCGAACACCCCCCCCCTCTTAGTTACACAGTGCTTACAACTGTCTCTGGAAGTGAAAGCACCAGAAAGTAAATTAAGTCATACGCAGCTGTCATCCGTACGCAAGGAAGTAAGCACAAGATGCCGAAAACCCTTAGCAGGATGCAGCGCACCCTTCATGCGACTCGCCGAATAT